TCCAGTCGCGAGGTGGTACCCGACCTCGAGGACCTCCATCAGCAGGAAGTTAGGCTCCAGGAAGCCTTCAACACCATTACAGAGTCCAAGATGGTATCCGATCTCGAAGGTTTCCCTCAAGAAGAAGAACGAGCACTTCGAGCTCCGCCCATAAAGGCTGGACCTCAGGACACCCCCCAAATCTGGGTAACCCCTCATCTGGGACCTATCTGCAACGCTTTAAAAGGTTATCTACGCCAAGCTCAAAACAAGTTTTCAGATGCATAAAGATAACCCTCACTCAGAGACCGCTCTCCAAAAATTCTAAGGCTCGAGGCACTATTTTTATATGATTCGACAGTCCCGATGGCCAGAGTCAATCGGACCAATTCGGGCTTGTTCCGAGGAACGACGGTGGGCTCAGAGAGGAACCATTTCTATCGATCAAAGACCGGGAAGAATACTCGCACCCGAGTTAGATATTGGCAATCATCACCAGAGGCATACATTCAGTATCCCCACAAGTGTTAAAGAAAATGGCAAACATCAAAGACGAAAGTCGAGAAAAAATTCTTATATTCATAAACGTCTGGTTACAACAGCCCGCGAGGGGTCCTTACATATGATTACAAAAGCCTGCAAAGGGCCCCTACACAGAAACAAAGAGGCAAAAGGGAATACATGAAGTAGAAGCCTAAAACCTAGTTTACCCTCAAGGGTCCATCTCCGGTAGCAGCATCCCCGAAGCGCCGCCTCCTCGAACTTGCGTCCTCGAAGGTGATACCTTCGACCGCCACCTCCTCTAGGTTCCCAGCTCGATCCCTTGGAATAATATCTCCGAGGGAGAAGATGAAGAAGAGGAAAGAGGGAGGACGCAAAAGAGGCAGAAAAAAGAGACATAGCCCGCCGAAGCCAAAGGTTGAAGATTCTGCGGGCCCCAATCTCGACGGCCGATTGTGCCATTTTATCCCTTGGGAAAAAACCCAAGGAATTAAGTGCCACACCAGGCCAGGGTAGGAGAGTGAGCAGCGGTGTATAGTCCGAACACTCTCCCGAGCAGCGGTATAGAGTCCGAACGCCTTTCTAGATCGGAAGAAACTAGCCACGACTGTCTCATCACCTCGAGCCAATAACGACATTAGTAGCAGTCGTAACAACAACAACAACAACGACAAAAAGGTGTGATCCCTCTCGACAAAGGGAAGCTCAGGCGGGAGGCCACCACACAGCTGACAAGAATACTGCTATACAACCTTAAGGCCGTGAACCCCAAACATGGTGGTTAACAATAAAGGAAGATGATGAGAAGAAAGTGATGAACGAACGGAGAAGGGCACTTAGATGAAGAGATAGTGCCAGAATGCCCCCATTTATAGGGGGAGATCACACGGCCATCGATGCCTTTGAAAGGCGGATCGGCAGGCGCAATCAATGCGTTCTTGAAAACTGAATCGACGGCGGTACCGTCACTTTGAAGAACGGGAATTGACAGTGCATTGAATGGCACCGAAAAGACAAGTACATGGATGTCCCGGTTATCGTGAAGGCTCACGTCATAGGTTGCGTCACCAGTATGACATCGTCACGGGGAACCCGAAGAGTTGGGCGTCAAAATCGTTTCCTATCGCTTCGTTCTAGGAAACGCGGAGACTATCTGTAGATGACAGAATCGGAGGGTCCGATTTCCCGTCATTAAGGCGTTTCGGAAGATTACCTTGAAGCCTCGAGGCTGCAAAGATGCGCTCGAGTCTCCTTCCTCGGAGCTCGTCGACACCCGGCCTGAAGAGAATATCGTCGAGGCTAGAGTAAAAATGGGGAGTTCTCAAGACACACGGCTAAGTCTGACAAAGTCCAGCCGGCCTACTCTGAACCCAAATCAGGGTGTCACATCTAGCTGTCCCACTTTCATATCTTTACAATTAATGTATGTCGTACCGTATAAGATTTCCCCCCTCTATATAAAGGGGGTCTTTACTATTTTGTAGAGAACTGATGTTGCTCCAATTATTCTACATGAAATATATGATAACTCTCTCTCTCTCTCTCTTTTCTCTCTAACACTCTCTCTCGATATTGCTGCTCTTATTTACTATCTTCATATTTGTTCTTCATTTATTGCTTATCATTGGCCATAAAGAGCCTCCTTTAATTATATCACGACTGTTAGCCCTTCCCCGACTGCCCCTAATAGCTCGAGCCCGAGCCCGGAAAGCGACCTCGAGGCCCCAAATCGACTAGCTCGAGGCCCTGAACAGCTAACTTATCGATTCGATTAGAACTCTATTTTAGTTCGCATCTCGTCCTTAAACTTCACACACATAACATCAATTGCTTCACAACTAGCATAAAAATAGATCACGTATTTTTAGAGTCTATTGTTATTACCATTTTCACGGTAAATACAAAAGCAATTAAAGCTCATAATAAACTACAAATATGAGTACAATACAGTACAAACGCATATTTGTACTATCTTTTTCCGTCAGATTAGCACTACTTTAAAGCTACTAAATATAGGCACACATAAGCTATATATAATACAAAAGCAAAATACTCATTATATTTGACAAAACTAAAAAGAACACCGAATTATTAGTAAAAATTAAAGAACATAATTGTAATTTTCTTTTTTCATTAATTGAATTTTTTCTTGAGATTTTAAATGATATTAACCAAATTATTTTTTGACAAGTTTGTCTAAGTATTTTTTTTACATGCTGTATGACACGCAGGACTCTTTTTTTAAATTGAGTTGAAATATTTGCTTTAGTTTCTTATAATTAACTTTTTGGGGCTATTTTCCTTCTAATGTCTTTTATAATATAACATAATTAAGGTATTTAGATTCCTAATATACATTGGCACAGTAAAATCAGGGGTCTATTTTCATCATACATAACAGTCTTATAATATTAACAAATAAATTGAAAGTGATAATCGAATAGAATTTTTTTTAATATATCTCATTTCTAAAGAATAATAGATAGTTTAGGTAAATAGATATGCAACATGAATGGCATAGGTTAAAATTCGAGCGTGAGATAAAAGAGTTGTAATTCCCATTTTTATCATTTTAGAAGTGCAAAAACTTGCATCTTGTACTCATATAAATAATTTGTTACTAAATTTAGTATTTAATATATAATGCCATTGAAGGACAATTTGGAACATTATATAGATATTATTATCTTTTATCATGTGATTTTTGTTTTCGCTACAAAAAAAATTAAATAAGAGAGGTGAGCGTAATTCTCAAACCGCAATAGAAGTTTGTGTTATAAAGAGAATCTCGGAGGAAAGTTTCCCACAATATCCAAATTGTAATTATAGCTAAATACTAAAACTTGGGATGAGTTAATATTAAGCTTTAAATTAATAAAAAAATATTTTATTTAATGTTTAAATAAATAGTTAAATAATTAAATTAACTAAGAAGCAAAAGAATGCAATTTAGTTTTATTTGCAAAATAAGTAAAAGTATTTTTCAAATGGAAAAAACTCCTAGGATACACATATTTGTTCCATAAGAAGTGCACTAACAGTGAAAAAAATAAGAAATAGAGTAAAATCAGTTATTGCGTAATATTAATAGTCAAATTAGTAAAAATGTAAATTTCAAACAAAAAAGATGAAGTAGTAGAAGACAAATTATATACTGTATGAGTTGTCACTCATTTTATTTTTTAAATATTCCTACAAATTGAACTTCCTATATCTTTTTAATGCATTTAGTTCTTTGCTTTAAAATATTAATTTAATATTAATCATTCTTATAGCCTGTTTGGCCAAGCTTTTTTTGGGTCAAAAATGCTTTTTTCTTTTGCCAAACGCATTTTTGGCCAAAAATTGAGGTGTTTGGCCAAGCTTTTAGAAGGAAAAAAAGTATTTTTGAGGAGAAGCAGAAGCAGTTTTGGAGAAGCAGAAAAAAGTAGCTTCTCTCCAAAAGCACTTTTGAGAAAAATATACTTAGAAGCAGTTTTCAAAAGCTTGGCCAAACACTAATTACTGCTCAAAAGTACTTTTTTAATTAATTAATCAAATACAAACTACTTCTCACCAAAAGCACTTTTTTTAAAAGTACTTTTAAAAAAAACACTTCTCAAAATAAGTTGATTTTAGAAGCTTGGCCAAATGGGCTAGTAGACTTTAGTCACATGTACCATGTTTCTAAGAGCCATAAAGCAAATCTATCATCCCCAAAACTCAAAAGACCAAGAGATTATATTTTTAAATTTGTTTTATTTGCCAAAGTTTTGATAATGGAAAGTATTTTTGTGTTACTTTATTGTTTCGATATTAGATACATAAATAATAATAATTTTTATAAGATATTCCACATAATTCTAAGGACTTATATGATACATAATTTCTTCTTTTATAAAATTAGCTAAAGCGGAATAAACATTTTATCAATTTTAGGAACTTCTTTTTTTTTTGTATCTCAAACACTTTGTTTAATGCTACATATTTTAATCTTTTAAGACTTTATATTCATTGATATTAAAAACACGCGCAAAGCGCATACCCTAAGACTAGTATTTAGTGTTTAGATCTACATATACATCTTAATATTCATACGTGCATTTAAATTTAGACGTCTTAATCTTAATAAAAATATATGAGGCCTTATTGTCATTGTAAAACTCAATACCTAATAGCAGTACTAATTCTAATAAAACTAACCTCCGTTACTATGATTATAGAACAAAAGAGTACAAAAAAGAAGGTACATAACTACTACAAATTATGATCTAACGAAGATTAGGGACCTCTTGTCGCATTTGGCCAAATCGAGGTCAAATATTGAGAAACTATTTTCCATATAGTGTACACCAAAATCTGGTAAATTAACTTTGAAATCTAAAATTAGACTATTAAAATAAAAAATTATGAATAAATAAAACTTTTATGGCTTAATTAATCTAACTTCTAGGAGCAAATATGAAGCAACTAATAAAGTTTACCAATGAGTTACTAGTATAATTTATCTTATGTTTTCTTTCTTATGTTATTCTAGTTCTAGTACTAGTATATCTGAAATGCTCTTTTGACAAATGTCCCGCATAGAAGTATTTTTGACCCGCTAAAAGAAAAACCCCCAAAAACAATTGCTTCCGGGCTTAACCCCACAGTATCAGTACTCATTTGATTTGAATTTTAAAGTATTTGACGAAATGCCTGAATGATTTTTGCTCTAAACCCAGTAGATTCTTTCCCATTTTCTTCACCATTGAGTTACAAGAGTAGGCATAGTTGATTGAGGCTATTCAGCCATGACAAGCTCTTGGCAGAGGAAGGAGCTTCCCTTTCTCATTCTCTATGCCGTTGGGTTTTACTTTATCATCATTCGTCGTTCTCTCCAAATTTCTCACGGTATTCTCTCATTTTCCCCCTTGTCTCTGTGTATTGAATGGACAAATAAATTATTCCTAATCCATCTTTTATTTGGTTAACTGAATCTGCAGATCATTACACCAAACTTTATGGGCTTCGACCTGGCTGGATCGCTGATCGACTCAATGTATGCTAATTTTGTTTTTTTTAAACCATTTTCGAATTCTCCTTATTTAGGTTGCTATTGCTACTGGTTTTTTGTTATAGTAATCCCTCTATCCTAATTTTTGTGGCATAAGTACTTTAGGAGTCAACTAGCTTCTTCTTTGACCACTAGTCTTTCATACATATTTTATACCAGAGAAAATTGTGATTTTTAGTAGTAATTTTTTTTGACGTAGTTTCGAAATAATGTATTTGATTGGTGGAAAATATTTTCTCAGAAGGAAAAACATTTTCCACAAAAAGGGAAGAATTACTTCCTTCACTTATGAAGTAATTTCCTATACAAATATCCTTATTCTTACTGTAACTTACTTGAACTAATACTTAGAATTTGTTCTCACCCTTTAATAGTCAACTATCACCGACCCAACTTGTTTGAGACTGAGGCATAGTTTTTGTTGTAGAATTGTCAAATCATTTTTCCCGTAGTTGATCCAAATAATGATTTTCCAAGGTTGAACATTTTCTGTAGAAAATATTTTTCACGGATAACATTTTCTCCATACCATACGCATGTATGAAAATTTTATTCCAAGAATTAAGGTGTGATTTTTGAAGTAGCATATTAAATTAGATGCATCGACTCTGGTACGCACCCCGCTATTATTTTTCAGACAGAGGGAGTAGTCATTGTTGTATCAATTGTGCATCTAGTAATATTTTAAATATTTTCATCCTCTTTGTTAAGTTTTGCTCTATTGTTAGGATGTATCAGATGCTCAGTGGAGAAATTTTCGGGGCAACTTGCTGATTCTTACCTTGGTTTTTGGAATCTTCGCTCTAGTGGCTACTGCATCTAGATCATATGGCCTAAAAGCAAAGGGAATGTCAATCGTTTGGCTTTTACTGTCTATGGCTTATTTGTCATATCTCCATGGAGCTTGGTGTGTTTTCTATTTTAAAATTTAAAAAGTAATATTTTTCCATTGTGGGTCTCGGGATTCCTTTGTGACGTTCTGGTTTTGCTGCAGCATTGTGTACATCTTGTCAATTGCTTCAGCTAATTATCTTCTAGTTAAGGTTTGTATTGTGGAATTTTAGTTTCATATTCTATTGTTGATATAGAGAATATATGATATTCAAATCTGCTAGCTTTCCTTTGGAGATTTAATTTTTAGCTGTGTTGCAGATATTTTGCATCTTTCTGCAAGAGCTACAACTAGACAATTTTCATTCCATAGTGCTGGATGTGGAGTATTTTCATAACTAAAATTATCTTTATTGTTAAAGTTGCGGAAAATAGTCCCACATGACAAAAGAAGTTATTCTGTTTTTATTTACTATACCTTTGTATCTGCCAGTGTTGTCAAAGGCGCGCTTAAGCCCTGAAGTGAGGCTCAAAACATGTTGAGCACTTCACCTCGCTTTGTCGGCACTTTAGTATCTCATCAAGGCTCTTAGGCATACTTTTACTTGCCAATGAGTGGAATCCTGAAAAGGCAACATTAAACTATTAATATTTCACTTTATCGTAAAAATTTTCCAATTTCTTTGTCCATATATTTGTTATTCATGGTTATAATTATTAGTCTTAGACTACATATACATATTTTACTTTTTCTCCAGTTGCGCCTTTTTTTTATTAAAGCCCATGCTTTATTTGCGCTCAGAGCTTTTTTGCGCTTTTCGCCTTTGATAACACTGGTATCTGCAGGTATGCGGAAGGACCAAATATGTCTTCCTGTTGTGGATATTTAATCTTGCATTTTTAATATGTAACCGTGTTTATGGAGGATATCCATTTTTCCTCTTTGGGTAAGTTGTCTTTGGTCATTCACAAGCTGCATTTGACTATGATGTGATTTATCTGAGTCCAGAAATTATGTTATTTTAATACTTCCGATGATCTTATGTCTATGTTGTAGGCCAAAGTGGGCCTACTTGGACAATTATCGAGGCACATTTAGGTGGCATATATGCTTTAACTTTGGTATATACTCTCTATCTGTCTAATTTTAAGTTGCATGCATGTTTTATTTCCGTCATTTATCACCTCATCCGTTCTCTCAAATAACTACCCCTTCTTGGTTGATCTAAAAATGAGTCTTCTTTCTGGGGACAAAAGTCTTGCTGTGGTACTTTTGGGATATCAAATAAAGATTCTATGCTGTTTGACATTTTTTCAGTATGATGCCGTAAAGATAAGATTGAACCATATTTTATTCCAAAAATAATCTTTATTTTAGTCCCCTGAAGAGAACAAGTTCATTAAAGGGGTAAAATCTCTCTATATTAGGACCCACTTCCATTTAAATATGATAAAGCTCAACTGTTCCCCTATGCTCATGTCCAATCTATTTAGTTGATTTATTACAGGTGACACATAAGAAGACATATTGAGGATCTTGAAACATAAAGAAGTAAAAACATAGTTCATGGTGGTCGGTGGATAAGGCAATCCTCGGCAATTGTTGTAATAGTATCACACTTGATGACCTTTATAGTGTCCTTGCTTACAAGGTTTCCTGAGTGCAACTTTATGTTACATATGCATAATAGCTGACAAAGTGAAAAGTTTGTTGCTTTATGAGAAGTTAGGATTCATGCCTATTATTTCTTAAGGAAAACTCCAAGTTGTGCTCTTTAATTTAAAAATAAAAGGTACTTTACCTGCTCGCAATATGTTTGTATCAAGATCCCATTTTACGGGGTAAAAAAGATTTGGTTTTATTTATCTTTCTGCCTAGCGCAAAGGTGCTATGTAACGTGCCTGTTTAGAACTGCAAATGTACCAAGAAAGAAAGTGAAGGTCCTGTAGCGTTTAAATAATAATTCCCTGTTATACTTTGCTGACAAAATGGATAGAAGCATCTTCATTGGTTATCTGAAGTTTTAAGTGTATCTATTTTGCAGTTGTCCTGCGAATGATTAGCTTTGGGTACGACTACCATTGGGCAGGTCATGATAATCGCTTTGACCTAGAGGTATGTTGATGGTAAGGTGTCCATTCGAAAGTGCTGTCAATTATGTACATCCTTGTTGCCATCGTAGATTCTTCCTTTAGTACTGCATCATGAATACTTTACTTAAGAGATCTCCTTTATCTCACAGCATAATATCTTTGCATGAACATGCGTGTTAAGAGAAAGTTGCCATGTGCTGCTGATAGATGGTCTCCATTTACTTAGTTCTCTCAATAGGGTAGATACCACTTCAAGCATCAATTTCCTGTATGAGCTCATTGATTGGATATTGGAATCTTATCTTCATTGTTTTATCCTATATATAGTGGTTAACAGTTGATGAATGCAATCACATAAAATGAAGCCTTTATCTGTTCTGATATTAGTAGTTACGGTGATTACAGAAGCATGTTCAGCGTTGCAATAATTGCTCATCAGGAAAAACATGCTACCGGCTATTACAGGTTAGCCGGTAATTCAATTGCTAGATTCTAAATGTATCTAGCTCTCTACGTGTCTGAACCATCTCCCCCCTTTGCAGGGAAGGAGTCTCAAAAGCGACACATTCTCCTTTACTATATACTTGTGTTACCTGATTTATGCACCTCTTTATATTGCTGGACCAATTATTAGCTTCAATGCATTTGCTTCACAGGTAAAGATGAATTTGCTTTTGCACACTTTTTCTTCTTTTATGTCCTTATATTTGTGCAGAAGATACTGTCATAGCGTAGAGAATATGAACATATATGCTGTTGAATAACTGTACTCGTGTCAGTCCCCTCCATTTAAAAATCAGTAATTTTCTATCTGGAGGGCCATGTGCCAGAAGGAATGACAGGTTGTTAAGAACCATTCCTTCGGCGAGATCACTATTATTTTTGTGTGGTACATCTTGAATCTGTTCTTATTTTTGGTGTGTACTTCTCTTCGGTATAGCTGATTGTCCCAGTAGGAATTTGAGCAATGAATTTGACCACTTTTCTTTTCCTTTACTCTAACCAAGAATCTTGTGAACTGCATGACCTTCATCAATCTCATTGTTTATTGATGTTACTGTCATTGCAGTTGGATACTCCTCAGAAAACATACTCAGTACAAGATGTAGTGTGGTATGGACTACGCTGGATTTTTAGCTTGATGCTAATGGAGACAATGACACATTTCTTTTATTACAATGCTTTCGCCATCAGGTGAGTATCTTATGGTGTTCAAACAACCCCAATTTCTTTGAACTCCTATCTGGCCTTGTGATTGAATCTTGTTAAATTTGCAGTGGAACATGGAAATACTTATCTCCATTGGACATCTTCGTCATTGGGTATGGAGTAAGTGCTGGAACTTATAATGCTAGAGCCACTTAACTCATAGAGTTCCCTAGTAAACATAATTGTATGTGTGTCTCAAAAATGAATAATTGAAAACAGCAGCTTGCAGTTATTGGTCATAAATCCTTTGAACAGCTTGATCTAGGTCGGAGTAAATGCTGGTGTTTAAATTTAGAGCTACTTAGGTCATAGGTGTTAGTGCTGTTCTGTGTGTTTTTATAAGCAAAATACATGAATTTTTTTCTTGAAAGGTAAAAATTGTGAAGGAACAGATGAATCTCAAAGCAAGCAAGATCTGTGCTTTTTCACTCCCCTAGTTCCATATTTAAATGTTTTGGCTTTATTGAGTTTTGCTGCGCATGTCTTTGATTTATCCAGTTTTGCCACATGGAATATTTTTCCTTAATGATGCACAACTCCAAGAGTCTAACTGGAATGTGGACCGTTGTTCTTTAACCATTTAAAGACTTAAAAAGTATCACTTATTCTAAAACCTTCAGATACTTTGAGGCTCTGTCTTTAGATCCCTGCAGATGCACACTGACCACCATTCTTCAAGTGTGATATTCTATTTCTCTAATTCAATGCTGAGGTGGTGAAATGTTTGTACATATTTGTATGCTACCTCTTTTCTTTCTACAGAGCTGCTCAACTAGAAAATTCAGACCTATTTTATTTATACAGATATATATAAATGCAACACCTCTGAGGTGCTCTATGTAGTGAGGTTCAATCCTTTCATTTGCCTTTAAACTCCCCAAGCGTGGAAGGGAAAGGCCCTTGCAAATAGTACCTTATGGTTCAACATCTAAAGGAGAATTTTATAAGCAAGTCAAACGAAAGAACACCAACTATCATCAACAAGGAATTGCTGTTAAATCTGATTCTTTTCCCTCCACGGTTTCTTGTATTTCCCTCATTCTTATATTTACTTAAAATGTTTATTCTCTCAAGCATCTTTTTTGGTATTTGTTATTGAAGTGCCAATGGTCTTTCAGACTATCTCTTGAGTTGCTGATTTTCCATTTAATAAGGTGTAACATTACTAATCTCTACGATAAAAAGAGCAGGTATTGAATTTCATGTGGCTCAAGTTTTTTCTGCTTTGGCGCTACTTCAGATTCTGGTCACTGGTAAATTTTGCAGTCATGCTTCTTTTGCCTTTCTACTCGTTCCTAAGCTGTAGCTCCTTATGCTTATTGGAGACGTATGGTCTCCGCAGCATGTTAATCATATATCTGAGGAGAAGCCTCTTTTCTACCATAATATTTGTCCAGGTCAATGGCATTGAGGCTCCTGAGAATATGCCAAGGTGTTTAAATAATTGCTACAACTTGGAAAGTTTTTGGAAAAACTGGCATGCCTCCTTTAACAAATGGCTTGTTAGGTACTGTTCTCAATCTTTAGACTTGCTTTATCTGAGCATCTGTCTCGCACTGACACTAAGATTTGGTATAATGTGTCTACCTTTAGATATATGTATATTCCTCTTGGAGGTACACAGAGAAAACTGCTAAATGTGTGGGTCATCTTCACGTTTGTTGCTATATGGCATGATTTGGAGTGGTACTGTTTCTGCAATGAACTCCACTTTGTATTACTGTACTAGGCTTAGACTTCACCTGACAACTTGTTTGCAATTGGCTTCAGGAAGCTTCTTTCTTGGGCATGGTTGACATGCATATTCTTTGTACCAGAAATGATGGTAAAATCGGCAGCGAACGCTCTCAAGGTTATGCCATTCAATGCTTAATTCGTAGTTCTTTTTGTTCTATGCATGCCGGTTTTTATTTTATTTTATGACTGATTATCTTTTCTTCTTGGTGCCATGTTTCTTGAACCTATTGTACGCACCAGGTGGAGAGCTCTTTTGGCAAGTTCCTTTGCCGTGAACTTAGTGCTGTTGCTGGGGCTATCACCATCACTTGTCTCATGGTTTGTCTGCTGAATTATTAGTCAGTCAAAATAGCATGCTTTTATATTATTTTATTGAGTTAATACCTAAAAAACCCTTAAACTATTCCACGTATCGCAACTTTAATACTTAAATTGTTGGATGTTGCTGGTACCCCCAAAACTATATCATTTCCTGTCTAAAATCCCCCTGCTGTGCCAAGTGGCATGGAGAGTGCACTCTCTTTGTAGTGTGTGGAGCTAGAGATTAGGCCAAAAAGAGTATACATGTGGTATTTTTCATTCATTGTTTAAATTAATTATTTTTATCTCTTATTCGGTATTTTTTCTTTTTCTTATTCAGTTTTTTCTTCTTCAAATCTTTTGCTAATGACATTAAACTTGTTGATTCCCATAACCTTAAAATAATAGTAACATCAAAAAATAATTAATCTATTTTGAAATCACGACTGCATTTTATCATATAAATAAACTCAATTAAAAAAGATAACTTCTAATTTTTTTTGATAACCGTGGTATCCGGGCTAGGTTGCATGCACCTCGACTAATTCCGCAAGATACCTGCCACCTCCTATCAGCAACAGTACAAGGTAACTCTGTCCACCAAGGTTTGGACTGATGGGAAGAAATCACCTAGTGTTTTTGTGTTCGCTGGGATTTGAACCTGAGACCTCGTACCCACTTCATTAACTACTAGGCCATACCCTTGGGTGCAGTAATATAGCAGTAATACCAAAAAATTAACAAAAAAGAAACAAAAAATTGAACGTTTAAGCATAGATTTTTTTCTTTCTTATTTTTTCTTTCTTGTTGCCTTATCTAAATTTAGTGATTTTTTTTCCTTTTGCAGAACCGATACTTTTTGTTTATAAAAATAAATCTAGTTGAATATCCATATTCGTAAAATAACGGTAAAACAAAATAATAATAATAATCAATAACAATAAACCTAATTGCAAATTAGAATCGAATTTAATCAATAATATTAAACCCAATTGAAAAGATTGAACATTAAAATGTACTTAAAATAAATATTGTTCACGTAAGGTTATGTCTTTTTAACAGAGTCTTATCATTATTGATGTAATTCATTTGTGATTGGCAACTAGGTTTATCATTTTCTTTGATTAAATTATTTTTAGTATTACTATTATTTTAAGGTTATGGATTTCAACTAGTTTACTGTTATTAGCAAAAGATGTAGAGTTTTGAGGAAAAAAAAGGTAAAAGAGAAAAGAAGAAAGAAAAATAACTAATAAAATTAATTAATTTTGAAAAATAAATATAAAATGCGACATGGATGCTCTTTTTGGTCTATTTTCTAGCTTTTACATATTACAAAAAGAGTGAAGTCACTCTCCATGCCACTTGCACTGTTGGAGTTTTTTAGATAAGAAATGTTATAGTTAAGTGTAACAACAACATTCCATAGTTTAAGTATTGAAGTTGCATAACGTGGATAGTTTTTTTTTGGTTGTGTGTGTGCATGTGTGTGTGTGGGGGGGGGGGGGGGTTGTTTAGGTATTAACTCTATTTTATTTTATGCATTTAAACCGGATTGTGGTATTATTTATTCGACTAAGTGTACCGCAAAAGTTAAGCAAGTAGTTCTGAAGCATAAAACCTTCCAACTTGAATTATTGTTTCTGCTAAAAAAACTGAAAACAAAAACTAATGTTGCTCTTTCAGAATGATAAAGTTGTTCAAATTACAGTACATAAGACTAGAAATATGAAGAATTTGGATATTTCTGCATATCAAGATTCAACCATATGACTTATTGCAGAGTGTCACTAATTATTTTCTGCACTTTATGATCGTAACATATTGTGCATGATGAGCACTCATCAGCACATGCAAATGCATTGCAACAATGCCACAGCTCGTAGCCACAAGGTGGGATGAGAGAAATTGAACTTCTGATTGACCTTTCCCTAGTGTGTGTTTAGAGGGGTTAAGCAGACAACTTTTATGTTTCAAAGGTCTTCGTGTTGCATCTTAGCGGACGTTTTGCTAGCTAAAGCTGAAATGGTTAGATTTTGTCTTAACCACACTGCTTTGTCATCAGGTGGCCAATCTTGTTGGCTTTGTCATCGGACCGTCCGGAATCAACTGGTTTCTTTCTAGATTTCTTCAGAAAGAAGGTACCGTGTCTCATTTTACTTGATGCTTGTCTATTAGATTGATGTAGGTGCAGAGATGACAAAATATTCCATGTTTTAGGACTCCCGACACTTGGTGGCATGTTTATTACGTTTTACGTTGGCACTAAGGTAGGACTCTCCAAATGCATCTAATTCACTTTGAACTTCCTCGATGCTTTTTATCATGCTATGAATCTTATAATGCAGCTGATGTTCCATATATCTGAAGCTAAGAAAAATGCCCATGGTAGATGATACAAAGATTTGTTCCTGTCCGACTGAGCAGAAAAACATAGTGATGCAAGTGAGGAAGCTTTCAAGCAATAATTGTATTGTATCACGAGGCGTATTGCTTGGTATGTTTCAGGATTTTTTTTGGGTCTTCGGACAGCGAGGTGGCCTTTTAGCTGGGTATTTCAGTATTCGTCTATTTTAAGTTTTATGTTCACCAGATTGGTCAATGTGAGCTCGCCAGGTTGCAGTTTTGTGTGGATAACTCGGGTCTTACCACGGCAAGAATGGGGCTAAGTGGGGTACAAAATTTTTGGAGTTCGCTGCAAGCCTACATTGGGTGAGCGTGTGCGCAGTTTGTGGTCTTTCAATGATCTATTGTGATATATTTGACAACTCGAGCCAAAGGGTAAAAGACAGAAAATAGCAAGTTATTTTCTTTACAGGCGTTTGTATTGTGGTTCTTGGCTTCTTATCAAACGGGCCATCTCTCGTACGGGTATTCTAAAATTGCTTCAATTCATTTCAAGCTACAATACAATTGTCTCTCTTAAACTGCTTGTGATCTGAAAGTCCAAACCTTGCTAAAAGGGTTTTAATCATGATTAACAGCAGAACAAATACACTGCAGTGAAATATTTCAGCAAATTGACAAAGACACGTAAAATTATAATGCCTGCATCCAAATTGGATACTCGTGTTTAAACGCAACAAAAAAGATAAAGCTGAATGCAAAGATGTTTCAGTGATTTTATCAATCCCATTTTATGGTTTAAAGCAGAACAAGCTCAAAAAAGTAGAATTTTAGTATACTATGTGAGGAGTATCTCTACCTGGTTGGTCTCAGTTATCAAGACTTATCTGATCTTTTGTTCCTTTTGGTGACAAAGAAGTCAAGTGGCCTTTTCATCACATGCAATATACTTGAGCAAAGTGGAGAAATCCTTACTTTGGATATTTCTCTCTTTTAGGTCTCAAAAGTAAGATCACCTCTAATGGAAATTGTGATGGTTTCCTTTTGATCTAAGCATATGCTTTAGTGGAATGAAATGATTGTGTAGTTCCAATGCTTTTCATGAGTGTTACCCTTACATTTCAAAGACAGATGTTTTTGCATCCTATTTTGTGTGTACAGAAAGTTAACAGCAGATAAATAGAATAAGGAAAAGAAAGAGGCCTTATAGTATCAGCACAACTATAAGATTTTATATTTCAGCCTGTCTGATTTTTTTTTAAAAAAAAAAAAATACTATTTTGAATAAAGTGTCTCTCATTCAACTGAGTCCTCTACAAAGGCTTGCGGATTCTCCAGATTATTCAGCCAAATAACAGGGAAACATAAGTCTAAATTAACAATTAGCCTACATCTCTTGGAATAACTTGGAGTTCAGTGATTTATCTTTTTCCAAAAATGTATTGAGATATATTTTTAGTGCTATGATTTTCTGATGGATGTAAACCTGTGCTATTTAATGTCTTAGGCCTTTTCTGCTGTCTGAATTATTGATCGTTGGGCTCCACGATTCATTAATTCTCACATCAAATACGACTAAGAATTCCAAGATTCATAAACTGACAAGCATGATGTTATTGTATTTGAGATCGTGTATTCGTGTGCATTTGATTTGCTTGGCGTTTACCTTCTGTTTTATGCTGAGTTGAAAACGATAGTCGTTGATGATTAGGTTCTCAATGACCAGTAAAAGGAAACTTATTGGCCATGAATTGTATTCATTGTGTTTGTTTCATTGACAAAACACATGAGGGAGAAAACCGACTCTAGCACTCAATTGTGTCAACGAGTGAAAATCACAGGGATACTATGGTTCAAATTTGAGTAAAGACAAAAAGGCTAGGTGATTAATTTTTATCTGCTTAAGCTTTGGTGGCAGTGGCAGAATTACACCGATACTTGTGATACTAGTTGGTGACAGATGCTCATTGAAATAATCAAGCTAGGGTCGGACACCATCACTATAAATAAAACATAAAAGTACTATAAATGTTTTCTGGGCCTTATTCTATTAGAAATAGACCAATTATTCTGAAACCATGGACTCCTGAATTTGATTTCAGTCAAGAGTTTATGACAGAGATACCATTGTGGGTGAAATTTCCCAAATTGCCTATGAATTGTTGGGGTTGTGGATCTCTGGGCAGAATAGCTAGCGCACTGGGGAAACCATTGTTTGCAGATGAATGTACGACTAAACAAACAAGGATTTCCTATGCCAGAATGTTAATTGAAGTCAATGTATCAAAACCACTCCCTGACACAATTGTGGTTATGGAGCCAAATGGGAAGAAATTTCAGCAGGAGGTGGTGTTTAAATGGAAGCCTCAGTTCTGCCCTCAGTGTTTAACTATAGGGCACGTTTGTATGAAGCAGCCTGAGCAACAAGGAAGACAAATGCAAAATAGAAGAAGAGATGAGCAGAAAAAAGTGATCCAGGAATGGAAACCTAAAGATGTTCCCTCAAAGAGCCAATTGACAGATACACAGCAATCAACTCTGGTTGCAATCAATCAACACAAAGATGGTACGAACAAACTGCAGCAAATGGATAAAGGAACACACAGCACAGATACAACACCTGTGGAAGGGTCAAAGAATGCATCTAAAGGCAAGGAGCTACCTAGTCCAGAGCTGAACTTGATTAATTTCCCACAATTGAGTGCTGTCATGTTGAGTAATGCAAAAAATGGGAAGACTGGAGCAACACAAAGGGAGGTACAGAGAATGAGACAAGTAGAACCACCTGAACCAGGTGGACCTATCACTGCTCAATGACCTGGTTGATATGGAACATTAGGGGTGTGAATAAAGTGTATAAACAAAAAGAGTTGAGAAAATATATAAGGAAAAAAAATATTAAACTCCTGGGGCTGCTGGAAACCAGGGTTAAACATCAGAGGTGGTCAAAAATAACTTCAAATATTGCACCAAACTGGGGGATAGTGAACAATTACTCTGCTGCAGCAAATAGGAGAATTTGGGTGATGTGGGATCAAGGAGAATATAGTATAAATACCCTAAAGGCGGAGGCTCAGTTGATACACTGTGAAGTTAGAGATACTGCTTATAAAATTCAATGTGTTCTAACCATTGTATATGGCTTTAACACTGTAGAAGAAAGAAGAAGTCTATGGTCAAGTTTGCAAGATATATCAAGCAACACTAACTGTCCTTGGTTAGTTTGTGGAGACTTTAATGCAATCTTAACTACTGTAGATAGAAGAAGCTGCCATCCAGTGACTTTTAATGAGGTTAGAGAGTTTGCAGATTGTATAAATTACTCTTTACTAAATGAACTACAATGGAAAGGGGACTATTATACCTGGACAAATAAACAACAGGCAGGGGAAAGAGTCAGTAGCAAAATAGACAGGGCTTTTGGTAATCATGACTGGATGATGAAATGGGGTCATATAGTGTTAGAATATGATTTGCCTAACATATCTGATCATGCACCTATGCTGTTGACATTGCACACTATGAACCAAAAGATCAGAGTTCCCTTCAGGTTGTTCAATATATGGGGAGAGCATGCACAATTTCTGGAAATAGTGGAGGCACATTGGAAGAAACAGTTGAATAATGATCCTATGAAGAATGTTTGGAACAAGCTAAAGGCAATGAGATCAGCTTTTAGGCAATTGAATCAAAAGGAGTTTCAGGCAACTACAGAGAAAATTGACAGGACAAGAGAAGAACTTCAAAAAGTTCAAGCAGCAATGGGAGCAAACTATGATGATACTCTAGTGACAAAGGAGAAAGAAGCCCTAATGCAGTTAGAGAAATGGAATCTGGTTGAAGAAAGTATTCTAAAGAAGAAGTCTAGAGCTCAATGGATACAATTAGGGGATTCAAACTCTAAATATTTTGCTGCAGTCATGAAAGAAAGAAGTCATAGAAAGCAAATCAGAGACCTCAAGTCTTTACAAGATGGTCATCTGGTATCTGAACCTAATGAGTTGAAAGAAGAAATTGTGACCTTTTATAAAGGATTGATGGGAACCTCAAATTGCTATCTCAAAGCTGTCAATAAGATTACAATAAGGCACCTAAGCTTAATCATGATCAACAGGTGTTGCTGTGTGCTCCAGTTACTGACCAGGAGATAGCTGATGGACTAGAAGAAATTGGAAATGATAAATCCCCTAGGTTAGATGGATATAATGCCTACTTCTACAAAAGGCATGGAAAATTGTTGGTCCTGAGATCACAACAGCAGTAAAGAGATTCTTTGAAAGCAACAAGATGAATAGAGCTATTAATTGTACTTTTATCACTTTGATACCCAAGAATGATCATCCTGAGACTGTGAAAGAGTACATGCCAATTGCTTGTTGCACTGTGTTATACAAAATCATCTCCAAAGTCTTGCATCAGGACTCCAAAAAGTCATTGCTTCAATTGTGTGTGAGGTGCAGACAAGATTCATCCTAGGAAGGAAAATTTTTGATAACATATTTCTTGCTCAAGAATTGGTGAAAGCCTATACAAGGAAAACTGTATCTCCTAGATGCATGATAAAAATAGACCTCCAAAAGCCCTATGATTCTGTGGAATGGGTGTACCTGGAGAAAGTCCTAGATGAGCTAAACTTCCCTAGAATGTTTACTGGATGGATCATGGAGTGTGTGAAAACTGTCAATTATTCAATTATGGTGAATGGAGAACCTACAACTCCTTTCAATGCAGCCAAAGGACTCAGGCAGGGAGATCCAATCTCCCCATTCCTCTTTGCAATTTCCATGGAATACCTCAGCAGGAATCTAAATGATGTGAAAGAAAGCCAAGAATTCAAGTACCACCCAAAGTGCTCTAAACTATATTTGACTCACTTGTCTTTTGCAAATGATTTGTTATTATTCTCTAAAGGTGATGTTAAATCAGTGACTACCCTTCATAGATGCTTTCAAGATTTCTCAGATGTTTCAGGCCTCCAAGCCAACAAAGAGAAAAGCTCTATTTATTTTGGAGGGGTGACCCCAGAGGTGCAGGAACAAATCCTAAGTTTTCTAGGATTCCCTAAAGGAGAACTCCCCTTCAGATATCTGGGAATTCCTTTAGCAACAAAAAAGATCTCCTTAATCTAGTGGCAACCATTGATTACCAGGATGGTGGCTAAAATCACCTCTTGGACTGCTAAGAAGCTGTCATATGCAGGTAGAGCCCAACTAATCCAGACTGTCCTCTTTGGTATTCAAGCTTACTGGGCACAACTGTTTGTTATACCCTCGAAAGTGATAAATACAATTGAAGCCTACTGTCGAAGCTACTTGTGGTCGGGCACAAATACAATCACTAGGAAGGCTTTAATTGCTTGGGAGAAGGTCTGTACTCCAAAATCAATGGGTGGTCTAGGCTTGATGAACATGAGAGTATGGAATAAAGCTGCAATAAGTAAAGCTAGTTGGGATATAGAACACAAAAGTGATAGGCTATGGATTAGATGGCTACATGCATACTATATCAAGAACCAACAATTTGCTCAAATGGCTATCCCTCAACAAGCTGGATGGATGGTAAAGAAGTTGTTTGAGGCAAGAAACTCATTGCCACTGATACAAGTCAACAATGCAGGGAGTGTAATCA